TTTTTTTTAACATGCTATCGCAGCTGAAGCACCAGGGAACCATCACTGTGAACGAAGAGGGAACGGAAGCTGCTGCCTTGACTCAAGTTGGGTTCATGCCGCTCTCCTCTCAGATTCGCTTCACTGTGGATCACCCGTTTCTCTTCCTGATCTACGAGCACCGTACTGACTGTCTTGTGTTCATTGGCCGGGTGGTAAATCCTTCACAAAACTGATACGCTAAAGAATTCACAACTGATAATCCGGTTATAAATTCAGGCTTAGGTTTAAGAGCATCTGACACATCTCTAATTTGAGCTTCTCAGGAGTGTTTTTAGACAAGAAAATTAACATTTAAACTTCTTAAAATTGTTTAGAGTACTAAGTCTGTTTGAATGCTTGTTATTTGTCTCTTAATGTTTTATAACCAACAGCAAGGCAGGTGGAGATGCATGGAGACAACGTGGTGTTACTGTTGATCCTCTAATACCAAAATAATGTTTAACGAAATGTATAAACATCACAGTTGTTGAAATAATAAAATACAAAAAACTACAACAGAACTTCTGAGAATTTGTTCAAATAAGTTTTTTAAAATCTAAGTTTAGAATCTGACAATAAAATGTTTCTTTATTAGGATTAACAACTTGCTGTGCTAACGGCTTAGGTTAACCTAATGAAATATTAGATACAAGTTTTTAAAAACAAACAAAAAAAACTAGTGCTGATCATGTTGAAGCCATACCACATTTACAGCCATTCTTGAATGGAAATAGTAATTTTAAAGAGTCCTAATGCATTTGTTTTATTTATATTTTTTTAAGTTAGCTGGCGCTGTTTAATTATGCATACAAACAGAAAACAAACCCCTGGGTCACAGGGTGGGTATGAGGTGGATCTGGGATGGGCATGATTTTGCACAAAAATAGAGAGAAACCCCAGCCTTTAGAGTGGACAGTAGGATGAGCCATTGTCTGCAGGGAAAGTACAGTATCCTTCTTTTTCTAAAAATCAAAATATGGGTCACGCTAAGATACAGGTGCTGGTCATAAAATTAGAATATCATGAAAAAGTAGATTGATTTCAGTAATTCCATTTAAAAAGTGAAACTTGTATATTATATTCATACATTACATACAAACTCATATATTTCAGATGTTTGTTTTGTTTAATTTTGATGATTACAAATGACAACAAATGAAAATCTCAAATTCATCATATCAGAAAATTAGAATATTACTGAAGACCAATAAAAACAAAGGATTTATAGAAATGTTGGCCAACTGAAAAGTGTGAACATGAAAAGTATGAGCATGTACAGCACTCAGTATTTAGTTGGGCCTCCTTTGGCCTGTATTACTGCAGCAATGCGGCGTGGCATGGAGTCGATCAGTCTGTGGCACTGCTCAGGTGTTATGATAGCCCAGGTTGCTCTAATAGTGGCTTTTAGCTCTTCTGAATTGTTGGGTCTGGTGTATTGCATCTTCTTCTTCACAATACCCCATAGATTTTCTATGGGGTTAAGGTCAGGAGAGTTTGCTGGCCAATTTAGAACAGGGATACCATGGTCCTTCAACCAGGTACTGGTAGCTTTGGCACTGTGTGCAGGTGCCAAGTCCTGTTGGAAAATGAAATCTGCATCTCCAAAAAGTTGGTCAGCTGCAGGAAGCATGAAGTGCTCTAAAACTTCCTGGTATGTGGCTGCGTTGACCCTGGACCTCAGAAAACACAATGGACCAACACCAGCAGATGACATGGCACCCCAAACCATCACTGACTGTGGAAACTTTACACTGGACTTCAAGCAACGTGGATGAAGTGCCTCTCTTCTTTTCCTCCAGACTCTGGGACCTTGATTTCCAAAGGAAATGCAAAATTTACTTTCATCAGAGAACATGACTTTGGATCACTCACCAGCAGTCCAGTCCTGTTTCTCTTTAGCCCAGGCAAGACGCTTCTGACGCTGTCTGTGGTTCAAGAGTGGCTTGACACAAGGAATGCGACAGCAGAAACCCATGTCTTTCATACGTCTGTGTGTGGTGGTTCTTGAAGCACTCACTCCAGCTGCAGTCCACTCTTTGTGAATCTCCCCCACATTTTTGAATGGGTTTTGTTTCACAATCCTCTCCAGGGTGCGGTTATCTCTCTTGCTTGTACACTTTTTTCGACCACATCTTTTCCTTCCCTTCGCCTCTCTATTAATGTGCTTGGACACTGAGCTCTGTGAACAGCCAGCCTCTTTAGCGATGACCTTTTGTGTCTTGCCCTCCTTGTGCAAGGTGTCGATGGTCGTCTTTTGGACAACCGTCAAGTCAGCAGTCTTCCCCATGATTGTGTAGCCTATAGAACTAGACTGAAAGACCATTTAAAGGCTTTTGCAGGTGGTTTGAGTTAATTAGCTGATTAGAGTGTGGCACCAGGGGCCATCAATTTTGAACCTTTTCACAATATTCTAATTTTCTGATATGATGAATTTGAGATTTTCATTTGTTGTCATTTGTAATCATCAAAATTAAACAAAATAAACATCTGAAATATATGAGTTTGTATGTAATGTATGAATATAATATACAAGTTTCACTTTTTAAATGGAATTACTGAAATCAATCTACTTTTTCATGATATTCTAATTTTATGACCAGCACCTGTATAGACAATTTATGGTAAAAACAGCTTACACCGCAGTAAAAAAAAGTCACTTCTTTGCATTTCCATATTTTTATGTTATTGGACTTTAGTTCATAAAACGGTACGCTAAAATTCGAAATACACTTGTAAATTAATTATTATTTAATGGGCAAAGGAGTGTGATTATTCAAGATAAATTACAATAATGTTATGAGGTTTGTCGCAATTTCAAATTGGAATTGTTGCCCAGCACTGATATAAACACAATAATCACATCAGAAATGACATTACAACCAAAATGTCATTCCATACGCTTTTAAAATGTACGTAGTCAAGATAACATTTCACAAACACTGTCTGTGTAACATAATCCCCAAAATATGAATGGTTTTAATACCAGAGGCTCTAAAAGTTAAATTAAATGCATTAAAAGCATGCATATCATTGTGAAATTATATATAATTTGGTTTTCTCATTTGGAAACTTAGAAAATGATAAAATATTCCATAATTAACCCAGATTCTTCATACTGATTTTTTTTCTAAAACTCTCAACTTAACCGGTCTTGGAGAGCTTAGATTTGAAAAGGGCTTCAGTAATGAGATCGCTTTTTGGATCAATGAAAACATTGTTGGTGTTTTTATCTGTTTGTTTGCTTTTTACTAGTTAAAAAAAATAAAAATGAATAAAAGAATCCATATATACAGAGAGGACTGATGTATTGCTTTACACTTATAGCAACAACCATTCTAAAATGTAGGGGATACATTTACATGTGACAGGAGGAAAAGGGAATCAAACCTACGATTTTTAGATTGCAAGACAACTACCCTTCACCACTGAGTGAGATTTGCTCAAAAGGTATGTCAACAGGTCTTTTTTGCCACAGCAACAGAGGAAAGCTGCATATTTACATTTACTGCACATGTACTTAGACCTATCTTTCCACAAGATGCTCTTGCTGCCAAGAGAACGCAGAGTTCTGACTCAGACCAAGTAAAATAGAACCAGCAAACCCTTTAACCCTTTATAGGGCACTCAGTGAAATACTTCAATCAAAGTTTCAAGCCAATAGTGTAGGACAAGACCTTAATATCTTTGTAACGTTTAAAAAATATGGATATTTTGATGGCAAAAATGAATGTCGATGTAATAACAAGAAACGCCAACTTGGCTGAATATATTAAGAATAATAACAAAAGTGCTTCTTTAAGAAATTCATGAAAAACACTCTGAGAGGGAAAGAAACACATTTTTTGGTACAACATAAACTTAGAGTCATTAATGCTGATACTGGCACTTAAATTTTTTAGTTTATAAACCTAAATATAATTGTTAACTAGGCTTATTAAATGTTTAACTTTAAATTTTAACTTTTCAATTAGCTTTTTACCCATTTTTCTTCACTTGTTAACTTAATTTACAGTAGGTAATATATCATTCAATGCCATCATAACATGTACAGCCATGTAGCAGTATCTTTGCTGAATGGCTGGATACAGATCTTGTGCTTCTAGACATCACTGAGGGACGGGGGGGGGGACTCCATTTGTAAGGGGTTATGCATATCAGAAATGGTAACGTGCCCTATAAAGGGTTAAGAAATACTACGTTGGAGCCAGGCTTCATCCCGCTCTTGGAACTGGTTGTGATTCATTGTTTTGTTTGATTTTCCTTCTGATAACATGTAGAGTTTTAGGAAAAACTTTTACTTTCTTCTGTCTCTCCAAACCCAAGATGCAAGAAATCCAGTCAACTGAATGAGAACCGTGTTCTTCTAGATTCAAAGAGAACGGCTGCAAGTAAAGCGGAAAAGCCAATTTTAAGCACCTCGTTTGTTTGCTTCCAGATCTTTTATGTTGTGTACCATGGGTAGGTAGCCAAATATTTAGACCATAGGACCCTTTCCAAGGACTCATAAGAGCTATAAACATCCCCTTTAAGCTTGTTAGCATTGGTACCTTGGATTTTGTAGAAATAATTAGTAGCAAGATCTTACTGTTCTCTGTATGTCAGTGATTTTAGTAGACAATCTTGTTGGATGTTTAATGTGTGGCTATTGGCTGTGCAATAAGTTTCCCATTAGTGACAGTTAAATTACTTGATTTTAACAATATTCAAATCCAATCTGGGTTAATCTAGAACCTAAATAATCATGTGGTAAAGTACTAAAAACTCTTTGATTATTTTAATTTGTGATAGAGATCATTTTATGAGGCAAAGTAATCCCCCTTTACCAACTATGAAAATAATCATAAAATGACCTCATTTCTGTTCATTAATAAGTATTGCACATTACGGTGCAAGATCTCAAATGGCAATGAAGCTCGTTAAGGTAAAACTGTGTTCTTGCTTTTAACATATGCTTTCATAGAAAACATGAACACACTCACCACGGCAATAACTGGAATAAGAACTCCAAGGTTTCCAGCACTGCTTGATGCCTGTATAGAGACAAAACATGTATCCATATAAAAAAAAATGAAACACATGGCTGTTAGGATTTACAGTTTGTGTTTAGCTGCTTGTTTAATTCAATACAAAAATACGTTATTCATCCCAAAAGTTTTTTTCTATTTTTTTTTTTACAACAAATTGTCAATGTTACTAGCTGTGATAATGAGGTGATCCACGCACCTTCAGGGCTGTTCCCTTGTCAGAGGCCCTCTCACTCGCTCTTTTGCCTTCCAGTCCCAGCTGGACAAAAAGTTCTAGAAGGTTGACCAGCAGCTCGTCCACCAGCTGCTCCCCCTGGAGGTTGGCTGCAATGTTTGCCAAAGCATTGATCACAGCCAGAGAGCAATGCCTTGAAGGGAAAAAAAGGTGGAGAGATGATGTGGACTGAGACTATGATCGGGTGGAAATAAACATACATTACACAGGACGTAAATTACAAAATTTCAAAACTGTCAATCTTATTAACAGAAGGGAAAAACCATTTGAGTAGGAGTGAGAAAAGAACAAAACATTTGAAGTTTTACTCCAAACTGGATTGCCTCTTTTTTTTACCCATTCAGATCTAGTGAAACTTTGCAATCCTATTGCAATGTTTCATTTCAAAGCATTTAACCTTGTTTGGAATAAAACATTGTTATGAAGTCAACACACCTATGTGAAAAAATTGTTGGTACCCAATTGCATATAAAGAAAAGGTCAATGTTCCCAAACAAGTCACTTTGAAACTTCCATATTTTAAATTTTTTCTAATGTTTTTTTCTTCCACATCTGTACCAAATGAACTCTTAAGGTTTAGAGGACAATGAAGGCAAAAGAGAGTTTAAGCTTTAAAGCGATATAGGGAACAATTAAAAGCCCATCATTTTTCAAGTATTTTTAATGTATTTTGTTGGTTTCTGCAGTGATTAATTTTCATCCGGATAATTTTAAAGAAATGGGCCTGTTCGTTTTGGTTTCCAGCACGTTGTTCAACAAATCTGACACTAAAATATGATATAATATAATATAATAAGATATGATAAAGCCTGAATTTTAAAGAACAGAAGCTGACCTGTAACCATGATCTCTGTAGTCTTTGGTAGCAGAGTAAACCACAGAACTGGCCTTCACGCTGATCTGCTGAAACAGATTCCAAACCTCCTGGTAGATGTATTGCTACAACAAAACAAGACAGGGAATAGCATGCAAATCAATGAACTGCAAATCTATTTTAAACTCTTAAAAGTAGCCTGCCTAGCAATCAAGGCTGATGGGCTGTCACATAACACCGTATTAAAACCAACTGGTAAATCAGCTGAAATCCTGGCTGTTGTTCCTAATGCAGGGTGCTGAATAAAAAGGCAACAACCACCAGATGCACAGTAATAGCAACGCTTCAGTCCATCTTGTGACAACATGTAATCTTTGTTTCACCCAAAAAAAAAAAGTTAAATCTATTCATTCATTTTCACCCTTATATCACAAACTTTTATATTCCATCTAATCCCAAATGAATTAAATTCATGGAAGAAAAAAAAAAATCAGAGGTGTCATTTCTCTATCGGTTTGGACTTACATTTCCTGTGATAACCATGCAGCCCAACTGGTCTATAATGAGCACATCCAGCTGTGATGGAGGCTGGCAGAACTTTTGCTGAAGGATTTGTAAGATGTGCTCCATAACTTTAGGAGTGTCTCTCAGAGCGACAGCAATATGACCCAGTGCTCGAATGGTGTGATCTGGAATTAGATGAGCGTCCCTGGGAGGAGGAAAAGTTATATTTTTAAAACCGATTCACCCTCATTCAAATGTATTCTAGATTCAGATTTCCTATTTTTCCCACTAGAGATACTGCTCACTTTTCATTCTCCTGTGAAATGTACAGACGGTTGGAGAGACTAGCTAAAAAGGCCTCTACGATCACTTGGTCCATTGTTAAACCAGCTTTGAGACATCTGAAGGAGGAGAAGAACAAAAGGAAGGAGCCCATGAAAATGAGCTCTGATGTTCCAATCTCAGCTGTGTCGAGTGTGTTCCCATTTTACCTGCAAATGTTGTCGATGGAAATGTCTCTAAGCTGCTCATACATGGAGGGCTGGTCCTTTTTGTTTGTTAGCATGTTGATAGTTGACTGAGAATGCTCATTCGTCACATTTATCCTAATTTCACCCGTTCCTTAAAAAAAAAAAAAAAACTTATGTCACATTCAAAAGATGAATTATGAAGGGCTGGGCTGTTGGGACAGCATAGAAAAAACAAAACAGATAAAATCTGTAACCTGAAACGCACTCTCTGTTATCTGTTATAGCTCAGATCAATGGTGGATGATGCTGTAATTGTGTTATTGATGCTGTCGCTACATGTTGTATAATTAGTCAGACTAATTTTGTCCTCTAGACTTTCATCCCAGGCAGTTGTTTTTTTTTTTTTTTGCTTCCTCCCAAATGATATTAAACTTGACCTTTAGAGCTTGGTGTGTTTATTTACCTTAATGGATTTAATGGTAAAAGGCTATATAAATACATAAATGACTGGATAAATAAATGCATCAATTCATTGTCTTGCAGCAAAGATATCTCAGGCAAAAAAAGGATGCAACGTGTCTTTCCAGAAAATGTACTCTGGACTTGTTTTTAACAAAATAAAACACTTTATTGGCCCTTTAAATCAATCAGAGGCCCTATGGATTTTTAATAAGCCACCCCTTACTTTGTGAATCCTGGGATTTAAATCCGATCCAACACTAATGCCTACTGCATCTAGCCATCCATTTTTAAGAGACAATTATTCTATTCGGGTAAGGCAGATAGGATTTGAATTTGGCAAGTCAGGAAATTGTTATCAATAAAGAGCTTCTTACCAAACTAGCCAATGTTAGACAGTCAGAGCATTAAATTAGAGTTTAAAACTGCTGAAACAGGAGGAGCAAGATTGGACAAGGACCCATGTTTGTTTGTATGAGAGGGAGGGTAGTGCAGGTTAATAAAAATGTCCAAACCAAACTGTCAGTTACTTGCAGCAAAGAGTCCACTATTAGATTCCAAGCAGTCTCCAACTGAATCTTATGACTGTATCTACAAACCAACTACTAGTTAGAGAGGCATTCCAGGAAAACACCTTTTCTCTCCTTCCATCAAAACCCCAATATGGGGAATTTGTGGAAAACTACTGGAGCTTCACCTCAAACTGTGACCACATGAAAATAGGGATTCAAAAACTGTGGCTAGATAAACCTTCTTCCATCTGCGGGGTGAGCTGAGGAGAAGAGAGCATAGAAGAGGACTGTAGATGATCTGTATGGATTAGACGATGTGCAAAAGGGTAAAACATAGCTCTTTCTGTATGCTCCAACCTTGTGAACATGGGAAGGCTAAGTGCCTTCCTGTTGGGAAGCAAAATTGTCAATAGCATTAAATAGTCTTTTTGATCGATTGACTTTATTAAAATTACAGTGGAGAAATTAAGTTGGTACATCAGTCTTTTTCCCCAAATCAATTAATTCCAATGAATTAAAGGCTTGAAATAAGGAACTGAATGACAATGTTGCAGCAATCAATCTGAACCTATTCTAAGGCATCTTTACCAGGGCTGTTAATAATTACTGAGGGTGCTCTACATGTCCATCTTAGTTAACAAAACATTAATCCATAAAAGGTCAAGACAAAGCTACAAGGTGGATTATAAGTAGTTAGTGTTTACAGTACGTACCTGCGCTGCATTGGCTATGATATTTGTAGAGTTTAATAAGAACCGGGGACGGAACAACCAAAAAATCCCTTAGAGAAGTTGTTGCAGAGTGAGCTACAACAGGAAACCTCTCACACAGACGCCCTAGGCCCTGAGAGAGAGCGAAACAAAACAATATAAATCACTTAATCTCATTCCTTGAGCAGTTTGTGTTTTATTTTGCTTCATATACAAACCTGCAAGCAACAAATGAGCAGGGGCATATGAGCAATGATAACTTTACTAGATGTTTTTGACTGAAGCTTTTCTGACAGCTTTGTGCACAAATTCTCAGCTCCTGGAAAGCGGAAAAAAAACAAAACAAAGTGAGACATCTAGAATGAATCAAAGTATCTTGCCCCTCTCTGATAATGACATCAAACACAAACCAGAGCTTTGTTCACATTGATTACCTTGCTCATCTTTGACGGCCCACACCATGAGGTCCACGCAGGCAGCGTTGGCTTGGCAACGGAGTTTGAGAGGGCTCTGTTCGCTGGGCAACCCGCCTGTATCATGAAGCACTCGTTGCAGCTCCGACTGGCTGCTGCTGAATTGCTCCAGGACAAAGTCATGTACTTCCCTCACAAACACGGGCTGCAAGGCTGAAAATATGACAGTTTGACAGGGTATTTAACTTGGAGACTACTAGATAGGGAGTTTATCAAGGCGTATACATAAAGGACAATGCTTTACCTTTCATGTTATACAGTGTGTCTCGCAGCATTTTGAACACACACACATACAAAGGGTCACTGAAGGTTTTGTAATGGAGGCTGATCCCAGGGTTAGACTTTACAAAATAAGAAACAAGACAAGAGCAATACAGAAAATCAGTCCACTGTTGTAATGTGATGTTTACATTTGCATTTAACCATTCTAAATACATTGCTTTTATGTTATTACCTCGATAACTGCTGTCAAAGTGGCATCCAGAGTTTTCAAGAAGGAGTCTGAAACAAACTTTTTCACCTGTAAAACAACATGTGAGGTTCAGATTTAGAGAACGTAAACCAACCGAAGCAGAATCTTAATGTTGTTTTTAAAAAGAAGAAGGTACTGCACCATGCTGAGTAGCTGTCGAAGCAGATCAATGGGCACCTCAACCTCATTTTCACTGGCACCCAGGAAGAGAGGAGACATTGAAAAACTGGAGCTGATCGTTGAGAAATAGTAATCTGGGTCTACTGAGCTGCTGTCGGGAAGATAGGCACCTGGGATTCAATTCAGAGAAAAAAAAAAAAAAAATGAGTAAAAAGTAGGGACCCTGAAGTCATATTAAAACGAGAAACAGCATTTACATAATTAAAGTCATAGGGAAACGGCTGTTCCAACTGTTTCCGAATTCTCCCGAGTGGTACTCGACTTTAAACAAGTGAATAAAGTGAATGTGATTGGTTGTCTATCAAGAGGGCGGGATTGTTGTGGCGGAAGGTTTGCAAGCAATTTTGATTGTGGCCGGATTCTCGTACGCATTGTTGTACTAGTAGGTTCCCAGTGGGAAATTACATTGGGAGGAAGTGGCACTAAATTGGTGACTAAAAAGGACACTGTCAAGGAATGCTATGGACAGCATGCAAGAGGAGGAGATTTTTGTGTCGGAGATGTTGAGTGGATGAGTCTCCACCATCATACTTTTTTTAATTTAGAGGAAAAAGATGTTGTGGAAGAGGACGCCAGGGCAGCGGAAGCTTGGTTTGGTGTAGGAGGCTTACAGCCGTATATGTTTGAGCCCTTGCCTCGCAACGCTGGCCGTTCTGTTAGCTCTACGCCTGCTCTACAGCCGTCCATCCCAGTGAACACTGGGATGTAACTCAATGGTAAAGGAAATGATTCTAATTTCTTATTTCAACCGTTGCGTCTATTAGCAGCAACATATGAATCAAGATGCTATGACCGACAACATTTGATTGACAGATTACCTTTTATATATGATTGGCAGGAATTAGGTGTACAAGCTGACGTATAACTAACTGGTCTGCATAAGATAACGGAAAAAAAGAACAACAGCTTTTGAGACAGGATTTTTTTTTTATGTAAATTTTGGTACAATATCTTATGAAAAAGAGTACATTTATATACATGTTTAAGCCAGAATGATTTGACATTTAAATATGATTTCCCTACAAATTTCAGTTTGCATTAATCCTATGGTTAAAAAAAAAATACCCACAACTATCAAACTTCTATACATTTTAAACATATTAATCAGTGGATTTTATTTATATCTCACATAATTGACAAACACAAAAAGTGTTGAAATGCAAAGCTCAACGTCAAATTAAACTGAAAATCAGTTTCTTTCAAATCAGCAAAGTAGTAGTTGATTTTAAATACTACTTTTGATGTAAAATTAATCTGAACACATTACATGTAAATATGCAGCCCTCTTTTCTCTGGTGTCCTTGACAGAAATTGAATTTCTTTCATTTTTTCGTCCACTTCACCATTATGCCTCATCTTCTGCTGGTGTTTCATATAAATGTGTAATAAATACACTAAAGAAAAAAGGTGTACAATTAACAATGTAAGGCCATGAAGGCCCTGATAACCTGAAGGAAAGTAATCAAGGAGAATTTAGCTTTGTTACTTTTACCTTCAAAATAATGTGGGCCAGGCGCTGTGGGAGAGCAGGGTGAGTGGCCTGCTGGGTCTGTAGGGATCTATAAGAAAGCAAATTAGACACCTTTGGCATCAGAAAGATACAGGTTCTGAAACATTTACTAATCTGAAGCTGTGCACACAGATCTGTCAATCCACACAACATCCAAACCTGTGCAGAGGAATCCAGGTTGTTCGCCATTCGCCTGCGCAGAGTGTCACTCTGAACAGCTGTGAGCAACGAAGATGGCATTATAGAGCGAAAGTCATTGAAGGATCTACGCCGCACGCCTTCTTTTTCCTCTGTTACGCAGCGGATCTGAGGCGAGTCTTTGGGGAACAGCTTGGACAGCAGGGCTTCTTCTGTGTTGCTGTAGCGTCCGAATGCTCGAGCCATACCGAGCAGACCCGGAACAATGTATCGGCACAAGAAAACTGCAGAAGAAAAGGTTTGTTTCTCAGGAAAAAAAACGGAACTTTAAGAAAGTAGATATTTTTTTTTTACTTTTATATATACCTTTGTCGTGATTATCTGGGGTTTGAACCATATCCTGAAAAGCCTGCATGACTTCCAGTATGGTGTTCAGGATCTGCAGAGAAGGCAGCATAAACAACACCTTAGCATTTATAAATGTGTTCCCCTGGAGTCAAAAATCATGTTCAACCATTTCCAGCTGACCTCAAGCCGGGAACCTGGGTCTCTCTGAGCCACATCTGATAAAAGTGTCACTAGACAAAAACTGAAGTTTTCTGCAACTGGAAGAAAATCTAAAAAAAAATAAATAAATAAAACATGGAAACACAAATTTAAATAAAAAGTCAAATTCAGTATAAAGACATATACAGTATTTAATAGATAACAACAAGGGAACAACGAGTAAGAAAGAGAATTTTTTCCAATACCATGTTGGGCCGACATAAGCCCCTTTACTATAAATCAAACCATGAATTTATATATATATATGCTAAGCTCCAATGAAAATATAACAGTTTTGTACTATTTAGAGTAAGTTGCACTTTAAGGATACAGTTCTGCATGGATTTATGTTGCTCTGTCGCCGTTCAATAGACTGAGCAAGAGCAAACCAGCAGTTATTCAAATTTGAACCTTTATACCCCATTATACAACACAACAAGATCCAAACTTGAAACCGCCTTCTACAAAGGGTTTTTACATTTACTTGTAAAAGTTAAAATGCATGGGTTACTCAATTTCCTCATGTTAAATGATTAATTGATGTTACAACTGTGCTGTAAAGACTTAGAAAAATGGTCCTCTAGCCTACTGCTGTCGCATCTACATAAAGGCTGCTGTAAATCAAAGGTAAGAGGATTTCACATACCCTTCTCTTTCTTTCCCAACCCTTCTTCGATCCACTGGACTCGTGGCAGGCCTTTCAATAGACTCAGCAAGTAGGGAACAAGTGTGTCTTTGTGCTGCAGGAGGAAAAGCAAATCATTGCATTCCAGAAACAAATGCACTTGGGATTATCTTAGTTTACCTACAAGGTTCTGAAAGCTCACAATTATGAGGCAGGCTAAAAAAATCTGTCAGCCTATCTGGAATCATTGACAATATTAAAAAAACATTCATGTTAAGAGTTGAGAAACAGTCTCTATAAAATCAGACGGTAACGAAGAATGTCTTAACCTGATTGGTTTAGAGGATTACAGGGTCAACTTAATGTCTAATCACCTTCTTAATGAGATTACTGAAATAAGCTAAGTACAGTGATACACATAGAGTGGAGCCTTGTGAGAGTGTTGAAGCAAAAAGTTAACTACTGTAATACTGGTTATCTGATAAAACAAAGAAATTGAAAACATTATAGCTCAGTTTTAATTAGTACCTGGATCATAAAATATGTATATCATATGATAAAATAAGAATGTTTATATATATATATATATATGAGCATATATATATATATATGTGAGCCCCAGGGCAGCTGTGGCTACAATGTAGCTTGCCACCATCAGTGTGTGAGTGTGTGCGTGAATGGGTGAATGAATGTAAAGTAAAGCGCTTTGGTCAAGTCTCCCAACTTGAATAAAGGCACTATATAAGTACATGCCATTTTTTTATTTACCATATATATATATATATATATATATATATATATATATATATATTTTAGGGCTGAAACAATTAATCAGATTAATCGTGGTTATTCGATTATTGATTGATCGATCGATCAACTATTAGTAATAGATTAATTGTTAACTGCAGTATAGAGACTCTAAAACATGCCTTTAGCTGACAGAGCAACCCACTTAGAGCAGTAATTATACCAAGATTGTGAAAAATATATAAACATTTTGCATTCAAGATAAAAATCGTCTCTCGATATGCTCTATCCAGAACTCCTCATGTGGAAAAGTTGGAGTTTCACCTGGTTTAGTTTCGTAAAAAGTCTTTTTTAATTAACCTTTGGCTATCCGATAATTTAACTGATTAATGGAAAAATAATCAACAGATTAATCAACTTGCAGCCCTAATATATATATACACACATACATACATATTATTCAAGAAATTGGATCTGTACTTCTGTTGAGTAAGCATGTCCCATTTTGAGATTACAGGTGAGTTTTTCATGTCAATAACATATTACTATGCCATAAACATTTAAATTTATTTATTCCCCTACAGTATTGAAAATTGGTTTTGAGTATTTTGAGTTTTACGTTTTAATAAAAGTCTAAAAAGTGTAGATTGAAAATATCTATTTATGATGTTAAACATTTCTATCTACACTTTAAAAGTAAAAGTATGCAGCATCTAGCACTTTTTTGCTATAAATTATGCATGGAAGGTATAAAACTTCTCTTAAGGCCAATAAAGCTGCTAACTCCTTAGAAACACTAAACGCCTACCTGCAGGCCCGACTCCACCAAAAACACAGCAAGCGCAATAACCGCATCTCTGCGTCGCACATCTAAAGTGAACACACCACGGACATCCACTGGACACATGCATTGCAGCTTCTGGACCTGAACGAGCACAAACAGATTACTTTAAGATAAAAACATATACCTGCTGGTGCAAACAGTTACACTAGAGCACTATTATATTGAAATAAACAGAATAATGTGAATTAAAATGTGATGTCTTCTGTGTGAAGTTGGGTAGGGATATAAACACATGCATGACTGTTATTGTGGTTATATTTAAACAAACAACTAAGTCAAGATATTAGGACTAAATATTTGTTAAGCTTAAAAAAAAAGACACAAGTTGGAATAAGACATTTTAGACAGTTTTGAGCACTGAGAATATTTTAATATCCAGAGGAGGATTTTAAACTGAGATTTAACCCTTTATTGACACAAGATTTTGGTAAGATTAATGCACCCATGGATAGAAATGCATGTTATGATTAAATTAGCTTATTTAAAGAATGATGTACTGATGTATTTGATAATCAAAACAAAACATATGAGTTGTTGTTTCTGGGTAGAGTGATAAAAACTGATAAAATGATAGCCTTCTACAGAGTATAACGTTAGCTGGCCATATTATTTCCCTCTGAAGTTGCCATATCAAACCAAAATTAGATTTGATATGGCAACTTCTTTCCATTTTACAACAACTGTGTTTAATTCTTTTTAAACCAAGAAATAGAAAGATTGGAAACGAATGTTAAGCCATAAGTAAATATACATATCTTTTGTCGCAAAAACACTTTTAAAAAAGTTCTTTTTGGACTGAATTAGGTCTTCGTCAGATTCAAACAGAATATTTCAATATAAAAGAAGAATATTTTGATAAATGATGACAGATTGACCTAGTTTTTCTCCCTACTCTCTTGATGTAAACACGTATTAGAATGGATAAAAGCAGATCACAATATCTTTCTAGAATAGACCTGATTTTATTGATTTGCAGGCATACGTTTATAACATCATAGATTATCCAGGAAATCAAAATGTTTAAATAAATTCAAATATCCATTCAGAAATCACCCTCGATGTAAGATTATAGCATTAATAAAAGGGGGCCAGTGCCCCTGTAGAACATGTCTATTACTTTTTTTTCCCTTTACAAATTCTGTTTTACTAATAATTCAAAAACAAAAAGGTGATAATAAGGATTCAGTGGTATTGAGATCCCAGTTTTTATCTACTAAATGTTTTTTTTTTCAAAAGCTCTTTCAAAAGCTCAAGCTTTTCTTGAGTTCTAATTCAGATTTTATAAAAAAAAATAAAATAAAAATTTTTAACTTAAATCAAGTGAAAAAAAATGTGTAAAATCCCTAAATCCTGAATGTATATTGACCTAATAAGAAACAGAATTTTAATTAAACCTAATTGAATGGAAATTTTACTTGATGCAGCTTTCTTATTTTTTTTTTTATCCCTTGCCCTTTTTTTATTTCATGCTTTTCTGTGCTCCCATGAACACAACGCTGCCTCCCTCCTGGCCCCCTGGTACATTTGGTCTAGAACCGCCATTGACAACAGGTGTATGTATCCCAGTTTGTAAGTATCAGTTGGAAACAACTGCTAAAAATGGTTTAAAAAAAAATATGTATCTTGAGCTTGTTTTTAATTTTCCTTTTGGTCACTTGCTTTATTCAAAATTTACAAAACAAATAACTTGAAGCAAATAACAGACCATAATAATTAAGACACTGATGAACTCAGATAAATTAATTTATTGTGTGTGAATACTTGGCTCCATATGCATGACTCATCCAAATGTTTATATCACTATATGAAAATTAGACATACGTATTTGCTCTCCTGTTCTAACAGGTCAGTGAGCTCTCCTTAATGGCATAAACCTGTTTGACTGCTGCGTTCATCCAGTCGGACTGCTCTCTGCCCTTTGTGATGCAGCAATAATGATAACAGACAGCAACCACCAACGGTTACATTTTCATCTACATCCCACTTTTCCACCCATTACATAAACAGAGGATCCCACATTAGTCACTGCTAATCGCTGACACACACAGAGAATCGTTAAACTAGGCACAGCTGACAGGTATGTGGTCCAAATAAAAAAGACACCGCCTGTGCGGAAGCGGAGTGAAGCCCAGAACACCAGCAGCAATCATTCAACTAGGCTAATTAGCGTTCATGTTTATCAAAGTGAAATCCCTCGTTCTTCTCTTTTCTCACCTTTTCAGCCGGGGCGGGTCTGTGGGCGGCTAAGGAGCGGGCCAGAGACAGCACTGTATTGAAATAAAACCCTCTCGTACTGCCTCCCATTGCAGACATGTTTACGTCTCTACATAAAGCCTACGGAATGAATTCAGCGCTGAGGTTAGTCAGCGGCTACTAGCGCTGGGGAAGCCGCAGTACGGAAGCTCAGCGCGGACAAACTAAGCCATGCATCTAAAGTCGAAACAACTGAACCCCCCTCCAGAATCATTGAGAGGAATTCATTATATTTTTATTTATAGTAGCAATAGAATTAGTAGTACTACAGCATTTCAGTTTATATCTACATGTTTAATTTTCCCCATTAGATATTCTTTTTTTTTTTAGATTTAGTACATATAAACATTCTAAAGATATGGATAGTTGGTTTATACTTAAGTAATGTCACCTATGTAATAAAACAAAAGCTATACTTAATTTATTCTTAAGTAAATGTTTACCATGGACCACTGTTTGTCACATTAGAAATTTTTTCAAAATATTTTTATTTAATTACAAGGTTATGATTATATATAATAACATGTAATTATATAATATATAATAATTTTTTTATGGTAATATTCGAATCCTAATCGTTAATTAATCAAAATTTTAGTAGGAGTGAAAAATTATCAAATTTACTTAAACACCAGCCGTAGTACTGTAGTACTGTTAGTAATATATATATATATATATATACACTATATTGCCAAAAGTATTTGCTCACCTGCCTTGACTCACATATGAGCTTAAGTGACATCCCGTTCCTAATCCATAGGGTTCAATATGACGTCGGTCCACCCTTTGCAGCTAGAACAGCTTCAACTCTTCTGGGAAGGCTGTCCACAAGGTTTAGGAGTGTGTTTATGGGAATTTTTGACCATTCTTCCAGAAGCGCATTTGTGAGGTCGCACACTGATGTTGGACGAGAAGGCCTGGCTCTCAGTCTCCGCTCTAATTCATCCCAAAGGTGTTCTATCGGGTTGAGGTCAGGACTCTGTGCAGGCCAGTCAAGTTCATCCACACCAGACTCTATCATCCATGTCTTTATGGACCTTGCTTTGTGCACTGGTGCACAGTCATGTTGGAAGAGGAAGGGGCCAGCTCCAAACTGTTCCCACAAAGTTGGGAGCATGGAATTGTCCAAAATGTCTTGGGATGCTGAAGCATTCAGAGTTCCTTTCACTGGAACTAAGGGGCCAAGCCCAGCTCCTGAAAAACAACCCCACACCATAATCCCCCCTCCACCAAACTTTACACTTGGCACAATGCAGTCAGACAAGTACCGTTCTCCTGGCAACCGCCAAACCCAGACCCGTCCATCAGATTGCCAGATGGAGAAGCGCGATTCGTCACTCCAGAGAACGCGTCTCCACTGCTCTAGAGTCCAGTGGCGGCGTGCTTTACACCACCGCATCCGACGCTTTGCATTGCACTTGGTGATGTATGGCTTGGATGCAGCTGCTCGACCATGGAAACCCATTCCATGAAGCTCTCTGCGCACTGTTCTTGAGCTAATCTGAAGGCCACATGAAGTTTGGAGGTCTGTAGTGATTGACTCTGCAGAAAGTTGGCGACCTCTTCGCACTATGCGCGTCAGCATCCGCTGACCCCGCTCCGTCAGTTTACGTGGCCTACCACTTCGTGGCTGAGTTGCTGTCGTTCCCAAACACTTCCATTTTCTTATAATACAGCTGACAGTTGACTGTGGAATATTTAGGAGCGAGGAAATTTCACGACTGGATTTGTTGCACAGGTGGCATCCTATCACAGTTCCACGCTGGAATTCACTGAGCTCCTGAGAGCGACCCATTCTTTCACAAATGTTTGTAAAAACAGTCTGCATGCCTAGGTGCTTGAATTTATACACCTGTGGCCATGGAAGTGATTGGAACACCTGATTCCAATAATTTGGATGGGTGAGCAAATACTTTTGGCAATATAGTGTATATATATATATATATATATATATATATATATATATATATATATATATATATATATATATATATATATATATATATATTACTCCATAATAACGTCATAAAAGTATTAAAATGCAAAATGACAAATAGAAACGTACCTTTTTTCCTATAAACACCTTTTGTTGTTTGAAGTTGAAATGAGGATGAAATGATGAATGTAACGTAACAAAATTCACATTCATGAGAAAGAATGTCTTGCAAATATCTTATGTCTTATTATTATTATTGTTATTATTATTATTATTATTATTATTATCTTATTACACTTATACAAATATAAAAATAATTTTGGGAGTATACTGATAAAGACAACTCTGTCTTTGATTAGATATCGCGTGTTTTACATTTTTGAGAAGCTGGTGTTTCAAGATTTGTAAAAGTGTTTCGGATTTTGTATTGTTGGTTTGCACTTCCCGGCCACCGTAGTTTCAGTCTGCTTTATGCGTTTTTGTTACGCAGAATTATCCACTACGAAGTGACGTAGTTACGTCACTATACGTGACAGGAAGCTACCGGTCAGCTGAGAGACCAACTACAACGTCTGGAGATTTCGACAGTAAAAAGGTTTGCCTGTCACCATGGTTTTTACCATTGTTTACGAAACAAACAAAAAAGTGACTTTTCCAATATATGAGGAAATTAAATTTACTTTTAGTCTGCCGAGCTGTAGTTTCTTTGCTAGCGGGTGCGGCCATTGGTCATATCTAATCGGCTGGCTAGCGTCAGCCAAATCCTATTCTGAAATATCGTTAAAAAATGTTTGCTATACCACTTAAATCGGGAATCAAGATGTGTTTAACGCGCTCTGTATTAAATAAAAGTCGTCTATATTACGAAGTTTCAATCAGCTGATCCTTTAGAAGCAGAAATAAATAATAAAATCAGCACTTCTGCTAAACTGTTCACTTTTACTAACTAAGCTATAACAGATTAGGTGATAAAGACTCTGTTCTGTAATAGTTATTTTGTACGGTTTGTTGTGTTATTAACCGTACTGTAAAGTTTAAAAGGTACCAAAAATGTGCTTAAACGATAGGAAAGTTAAGTGCGTTTTTTGTAGGTATTGATTCTATATTACACATACGGTAATACTGAGGGTGAAAGCTCATTATTGACTAAAGCTAATCATGCTTACACACCGAAAACTTGAGTGAAAGGCTGTTTAGTTCAACATTGTGTTTCTCTCACAGATGGCCTACCCAAAATCCCACAACCCATTTGCTGATGATGATGACAATGAGGAAGATTTTAAACCCAAAAACAGAGGCTTTGAAGATGAAGATGACAGCGGGTTGACAGATGCGGAGAGAAGGCAGAGGTACCTTCAGCAAGAAGTGATGCGCACAGCAAAGTCAGCAGTGGACAGCAGTTATCGTTCGATCGGTCTCATCTATGAATCTGAGAAGATGGGTGTGGAGACTGCAGAGGTACAGTCAGATAGCGCTGAAAATGTGAACATGAAAGTCTTGTCGGGCTATACCTGGGAAATAAAATCTACTCCCAGTATTTCTTTCTGTTTCTTAAATTCAAAATCCCTTTTTTAAAGACAATATTTATTTCAGTAGAAACTTTTAAAAGTTTAAAAGCCACGAATCTCATTTATCCCATAAATTAGATTGATTTTTAAAACACCTTTTCAGTCATTGTTAAAAGTAAAATTAATACAGATCATACTTCCCATAAATATTGCATTGGCCAGTAGGGTTGATACTGTTGCTATTCAAAAATCAATAAAAAAGATCAGTGTTGTTAAACCTACTTTGTATAATTCTGCAAGATTATGTGTTTGGGATAATTTGTCCTGTTGGAACATAAACCATCTAGCCACTTATTTAATCTGATGTCAATGAATTTGGAGGTATTTGATTGTCTTCAATATTCTAAACAACAGAAGGTGAACTAGCCCATAGCATGATGCTGCCACTACCATGCTGTAATAGTTGCTATAGTGTTTTATGCATTTTTTCCATCAATGTTATGCGACCAACGAAAGAGTAATGTCAAAATATTATTTTTCTGTTACAGTATTACATTTTCTCATTACTCATAAATATGATTAACAATTTGTATGATGAAAAACTCAACTAGGTTACATTTCCCAAAACTCTATGGGTTTGTTGGGATTTCCACAATTTCTTTTTAAATCTGTTTGTGTGAGAGCATGCATACAATGTGTAGAAGAAGATTCAGAATTCAATTTCTGGCCTAAGGTCTTTCTTTGTGGAGTTTGCATGTACTCCCTGTGCATATGTGGGTTCTCTCTGGGTACTCTGGGTTCCTTCCACAGTCCAAAAACATGACTGTTAGATTAATTGGCTTCTCTAAATCCTCCTTAGGTGTGAGTGTGTGCGTGAATGGTTGTTTGTCCTGTTTGTCTCTATGTTGCCCTGCGATGGACTGGCGATTTGTCCAGGTTGGACCCCGCCTCTCACTGACAGCTGGAGATACTGTAGGCACCAGCACCCCTCGCAACCCCAGCAGGGAAAAGCATGACGGAAAATCGATGGATGGATTATTATAAGGCCAAACATGATCATTTGTTTTTTTACAAACTGACCTCTTCTCATTATCACAAATCTCATTCTCTGTCCCATCTGCTAATAAAATATCACTAGAGAGCATTTGGTTTGTCCATGTATTTAGCTGCAAATTTCAAGCACATGGGATGTGGTGACACATCCATTTAACTTGTATTTATGTAACACTGATTGAACTCATTTGAATCAATGAACTGATTTTGAGGTTTGTGATTATTGACAAATGGCTTCCTGAAGACTTTTCCAACTTTTGATAATCCTTAGAATGTCCTCGGGCTCTGATAATTATTCTAATATGTCCTGTTAAACAAATCCCTCTTAGCATAGCAAAGATAAACTACCAGCTGAAACCAGTCGTGATCTCTTACAAGCAGCGATTAGGCCTTCCCCTTATCTGACGCAGAGATGCACCAAAACCTGTAGCTGCACAATGAGCTTATATTTATATTGTGGAAGTACAATTTCAACCATTTGGTTTAGGGAAAAACACACTTGTGCTCATAATTCCTGCTTTGAAATATTACATCCTTCTTCTTTTGAATATCACCTATTTTTTTGACATTTGTGTCTGTATAGGAGTTGATGCGACAGGGAGAGGCCCTGAAGAGGACGGACAGGATGTTAGACAACATGGAGGAGGATCTGAAAACCAGTCAAAGGCATATCACCAGTATCAAGAGTGTGTGGGGAGGAATCGTCAACTACTTCAAGGGAAAACCAGAAACAAAGCCTGCACCTGAACAGCCAAAGGTCTACCAAGCTAATGAGAGGTCATTTCAATTCCTCCTTCTTTGTATCACTTCCTTGTTGTGACCTGCTATTGTGGCTACATTTATTTTTTACTCATTTTCTGCTAGGTGAAGATGTATTAGTTTTAGATTTTATTATGATTGTTTTTCACTTTTTCACTGATTGGCTGAATGGTGCTTTTGTAACTATCTCAGACTACAGACTGCCATGTCCAGCAGCAAAGAACATGAGGATAAATACCAAGCAAGTCACCCCAATCTAAGAAAGTTGGATACAGGAGGTAAGAGCGGGCAAAATTAAGTTTTCAGCATCATCCTACTAAAATACATGAAAAAAATTACTCATTCTTTTCCTGCAGGTTTTGGAGCTGCTGCTTCCATGGATGACAGCTCATCCAGACAGAATGGATACCCGCAGAACAGATACCTAAAGGAGGCTCACCAGACCCTCGACAACAATTTAGGTAAAATAATCTATCATTTTTATATCCCTGTTATTCATTAATTTATAAAACAGGTTTATTTCATGTATGGTTTCAAATGTATCATGATTGAATATATATTTTATTACCATAAACAGTCATCACGTGTCTACGTAAAAAAAAATAAAAGGTTCTTAAAGTTTGTTTAATGTAAGGTTAAATGGTCTTTTTAATTCTTGGTCATTGTGAGACTAATGTGTAACATTCCTTGTGAATGCCTTAGATGAGATGTCCAGTGGTTTGGCGAGACTGAAGAACCTCGGACTGGGGCTTCAGTCGGAGATTGAAGAACAGGATGACTCCATCGGTTCCCTGCTCAACAAAGTGGACAAAATGGATCTGAAGATTAACGCTACCAACCAGCAAATTAAAAACCTCAAATAAGACTGGACTGCTCCAATTTTAGACTTAAATTGGCAATGTGAATCTACATACAAAGTCTCACATGTGATCCCTCCTTCTGGCCTTTTTATTAAAGAATAGCCTGTTTTGTTTTGTCTTTCTTTTGTCTACCACTGAAAATAAATGATTTCTTGTTTCTTTTTCTGGTGGAATGGTTTTCATATATGCTCTGGTTACTTTCTCTTTCAACTTTTACTGCTGTTCTGTCTTAAATGTGTGAAGTTGGTGACATTTGGAAAACGTCCTAATTATATTTCAAGAAAAAGAATTTCACATATGGGAAGAATTTTGAAATATAGGTTAAGTACGCTTTTTATCTTTTTTGGACACTTTTTAGCCACCTCAAATGTATGGACAAAACATAAGTAAGCAGAAAACCTAGCTCAAGTCACGTTTGCCTTATCTGTAATAGGAATATACAGTCATCGGGTCTGTGTCATGATTATGTTTTCATTTGGTGCTTCAAAAATTTCAGTGATTCGGTGCTGCAGAATTTGTCAGACAGTTGTCCTAAAACATGAATTGCATCAACAAGCTGTTGCATTTGTAAAAAAAAATTAGCTTTGAAGGAATAAACCCACTATCTAAGTCATAATATATGAACTCTACACTGTTTTATGTATTTCCAGCCCAAGAGATATGATTATGTTTTTCATAAAAATGTTACAAGCCTGTTGATTTGTTATTTGAAAACAATCGAATATTCAATACTTGTTTTTTGCCATATTTTTAATGCATTATGATTAAACTGATATGTAATAAATTCATTATGAATAGAGTCAATTTTTCTTTACAGTTTAAAGGTTACTGTGGAGGATTTTTTTGTGATTTTTTAAAAAAAAGACCCACTTTATCCACTTTAAAAAAAATGCACAAACCCTGTGTCCGCACCTATTAAAAGCATGTGAGAGCATGCACGAGCCCATTTCTCTTCGTGCATGCTCTGTTTAAAAGTTGCTGTCTGCATTGCTCATACAAGCTTACTTTCCAAAAGATTTGCAATTTTCCACTATGTCAGACTCACCACCGGTAAGTGAAAATGGTGACGAGCGCATAGGATGGCCTTATGTGAACATATCAGCAGAATGATTGACATTTAGGAGGACCACTAATTTTGATGATCCACCTAAAAAAGAACATCCTCCACCATACCTTTAAGTTGGTTAGAAAGCCAATGTGCCACAAGATGGCACTATATCTCAAGACAAGCTTTTTTGAGCATCTGCTAAAAAGCATCACTTTTAAGCCTATTATTTATTTTTTAATAGATCCAAATGTATAATATTCAGTGTTATAACTACATAATAATTGTTATGTATTAATTTCTAAAAAGGAAATGTTACATGTTCTGTGGTTTGTGCCACCTGTACTGTTGAATGTAGCTCGTCTCCTTAAGTTAAGCAATCCATTCATTATCATTCCTCTGTGTAGGACCAGCTGCTTCCATCGGCCCAACAAGCATTCATCAGGATGACTTGCTAATTACAGTACATGCCTCCTAAATAGATTTCAGTCGTACAGAAAAAAAGAAGGCATTTTTGTCATTCCTTTAGCAAGATTGTTTTGAAGCACAAGCGTTGAACGCAGACAATTTAAACAGAGAGAGGAAGAGAGGAGGTAGCATGAGGTATTAAGCTGCAGGGTTATTAACTAAACAAGAAAAACCTACTAATGAGAAAAATGTTTTTTTTTAAGTTTGTTTCTTATTTATATACATTGCAATGTTTTATTAGTGTATCATGGTGAGTGTTTCACATATAATTATGCTTTAAAGGGAAGTTTATCATATTTATACATGAGTTTTTGAGACCTCTGCCTCATCAGTGTAACATTTTGATTTTTGAAAACCCCACAATCAGACACATGTAGTGAATAGAAATGTTATATAGGAAAAAAGTGTCAAAAATTATTCAAAGCAATGATATAACTTATTATAACCTTTTTGTCAGAATTAACTTAAAGAAAACCTTAATTTGAAAAAAATAGACTTTTCCGAAACTTATTTCATGATGCAGGCTTTAAAGCATGGATATCTGTGTAATGGTTTAGTTGAGCTTTTGCTTTTCATTTGATTATTTTTAACTTTAATTTTCTCTTTTCATTCTTGTTTTATCTTATCAGCATGTCAAATGTTTGTCTTGCCATAATTGGACTGCAATTACAACAGCACACCATTACATACTGATTTATTTACCCTAAACCTATTACTGGGATAGAATTTGTTGAAATATGTTAGATGTCAACATCATTACAAGTGGTGTTCATCAAGGCTTTGTTTTCAGGCCACTGTTATTTAATATCTTCATGTGTCCCTAATTTTGATTTTTTTATTCTAACATTTATTTAAATAGTTTTGCTGATAACACTAAATTTTGCATGTCTTTGTGCCATCAGTAAGTAGATATTCCAGAATTTCCTGCAACTTAATGTAGAAATTATTGCATGATTACAAGTTTTCATACTCACCTGTTCTAAGTGATATAAACAACTACAGACCATGCAGATGTAAACGCATTGCTCTGGACTCTGATGCGAAGTTTCAAAAATACAAATGTGTTTTGCACTGTTTCAAATATTTACAATATTTATTCTTTTGTGATCTAAACATGACTCAAAAAGTGGGGCGTGACTGAATATGCAAAGGGATAGGTGGAATTTTGTAATTTTGTCATCAACATCCCATAGCAGAAATCCAATAAACATCTGTAGTTCACTGAAAATCATTCACTGCTAGAGTTTAGACCAACACCAAGAGAATAGGCCACTCCTGAATTCACTATTCTGACCCCTTGCTTGAAAAGTGATAGCTATTTTTTTATATATATACAGTGTTGGGCACGTTACTTTGAAAAAGTAATTAGTTATAGTTACTAGTTACTTCTCCCAAAAAGTAACTGAGTTACTAACTGAGTTACTCCACAATAAAAGTAACTAGTTACTAGTAAAAGTAACTATTGCGTTACTTTTGAGTTTCTCGCCCCCGTAAACCTCACCACCCAGCCCCCACCTTCTCGCCGTGTGTTTCCAAAGCCAGCTGAATAGAGCGGACGACAAAGACAAGAACCTGCAGAGAGTTTAGCATTTATTGCAACTCAACGTAAATGACATCAGGGGGGAACGCCATGTGAAGTTTTATAACAGGACATTCAGATCCGGTGAGTATATGAAATTAATAACTGGGGATGTCTAATTCTGAAATCCTGTGTGTTTGGGTTTTTATAGATACTGCAACATCTATCTATCTATCTATCTATCTATCTATCTATCTATCTATCTATCTATCTATCTATCTATCTATCTATCTATCTATCTATCTATCTATCTATCTATCTATCTATCTATCTATCTATCTATCTATCTATCTATCTATCTATCTATCTATCTATCTAGATGTATACTCTGTGTGTGACATAAAATATGGATCTCCATCCCTGCCACAAAGGCCATCAAATATTGTTTAAAATAAAAAAAACAGTAAGTTGAGAAGGCAGAGTATCCATCCATCCATCCATCCATCCATCCATCCATCCATCCATCCATCCATCCATCCATCCATCCATCCATCCATCCATCCATCCATCCATCCATCCATCCAACCATCCATCCAGATTTCTCCCTTTCTCCATATAGGCTATCATTTCTGGCTGTTGTCAGGTTCATTTGATCGTTCACGCTCTCCATAGTTCTCCTGTGGCGCGAGCACAGGGCGACTGTTGCGCGCATTTAGCGAGCATGCGCGTTTCCTGTCGCTTGCGCGGTGACTCTTGCCGCCTGCGCTGTGTGGAGATGCAGAGGAAACCGTTATGTGATGGGGAAACGCAGCTCTACGTAACACTGGTATTTCCATGTGGAAAACGCTGTTTTGCTGCTGGAGTCATCCTCACTCTCCATCTCTCTGTGTGTGCTGTACGTTAACACCCGCCAGCAGAAACACCCACCTATTCAACTGACAGACGGAATCTCACTATTCATCAGCCATTCTCATCCTCCCCTCTCAGGACAAGGCGCGCACCTCTGGATGACCTAAAATAAATCTTTAATATCTCTTAAACAAAAGTAGCACAAACAATATTTTTTTCTGCACAAATCTGCACTAACGTTGCACTAACCATTCAGTCTATTTGCAGAGTTTTTTGACGTGGGTGGGGTGTCAGCTTCACGCAGCTGCGCACGAGTCCTATCATGAAAAAAGGTTCATTGTGCGACCTGAGTAACGCGCAGTAACGGGGTGCCTGCAATGGTAACTGCGTTATAGTTACAGTCAAAGTAATTAGTTAGATTACTCGTTACTAAAACAAGGTAACGGCGTTAGTAACGCCGTTACTTTCAACGCCGTTAGTCCCATCACTGTATATATAAGTGTAAGGCAGGAAGTTTTTCAAGACATCTACTTGTTAATCAGTAACCTGTTTACTCTGTGTTGCTTTGTCTAATGTCATACATGTTTTACTGAGGAGACAGGCTGCCTATATTTTTAAGTTAACATGCTGAAGAAGGAAATGTAAGGTCAAGGTACCAGCAGACTAGCCTGGGTGCCAGTCCGAACTTAGTCCCGCCCACAAGGTTTGAGTTCGGGGAAGTTCGGTCTGGCTCTGCTCCATAGTAGCGCGAGTATTAAAGCCCACTGTCAGGCGATCCAATCAAATTGTCAGGGCGGGCTTTATACGATGATGGACAGATGATCAAGAGTAACGTAATCAACCACGTGACCAAAGCGCGCTTGGGTGACAACAATGGCTGCCGCTGGAGAGTTGAGGTGAGTAGATTCTGCTATTAGGTCTGTTCTAGAAGATATCGACAGCAAATTAATTTTAAAAGAGGAACAGAGAAACGCGATCAAGTCTCATCTTCTTATTCTAGGCGTGAAACTGCACGCTTTGATTTTTGTGGACAACAACTATGCCTCGCTTAACATACGTCACGCACTCCGTTGCTCTTATTGGTTGTAGGTCTATCCTATTGAGTGCAGAGGCATTTTTTCTCCTGGTTCGTTCGAAACACGCCCCATAATCACAGCTCTATGGAGCAGTATCAGACTCATATTCTGACTAGAATTGAGTCGGACTACGTCAGGCTACCAGCAGACATCCCTTGATAGATAAACGGAAGTCACCTTCTGCTTCTTTCTATTCACACCAAACACATGGGCTAGGGGCGCTTTGAACAGCTGTCTTGTCAAAAGCAAACAGTGGCTGTGTTGTGACAAAAGCTGCCAGCACTGGAATGCCCCCTTTTCAGTGATTGTAATCCCAGAACACACCACTGTCAGACCCCATCAGGCAGCGGGCCAGGGATGGGCCTTCCTGCCCTTTGGAAAGCAGGGGCACGGCAGCAGAGGGGATAGAGTGTCAGGCTGACGGCACTCTACTGCTAACACTGTAGCAAAAGATAATAAAGGGTTGTGCTGATGAAGGGAGGCTTGATAAAGAGCTGGGTAGAGGATGGAGGGAGGAGAGCAAAGACAGGTGGGAGGCAGGTTGGAGAGATTGATAGAGGAGGCAAAGCACCTTTTGAGAGAAACACAGAGAACAGGAACATCCTGCTGTCTTTTTATGGACTGTAAATATTTGTGGCCTTATGATCCTCACCAAAAACATTT